GTGCTTGCCGATTTCTGTTACCCACTTGCCAAATTCAAATCTGTGGCCTTGCCCATTCCTAACCCTGCACTCTTCCTTGGTACCATATGACAATAATTTTGCCCTTTGCTTAGTGCTTTATGAATGTTACTCCTGCATGGGGTCTCCAACAATTTAAAATGCACAATCTGAAATGATTTCCCTGTATCCCTTCACTTTGTTGACCCTCTCCCCTTTTTCTAAAGTCCTTCAAATCTCATACCTTTCCAAGCTGTTGTAGCGTTAGAAAGCTGGCTGTGTGACTTTACTTCTGTGAAGTGCTTTGGGTCATTTTATTATGTGAATGGAGTTGTATCAATGGGAGTTATGTTTATCGGTGAGTTCTGAATATCCTTTTTAAGACAAGTGGCTTGTTGCAAGTAGAAGATTTCAATGCATAAATCAGGAGCATTTCTAAGCAGCTCAAGAACGTTAAAGGTGCCATCTTTCAGATGAGAAACGAATCCAGGCCCCAAGTTACTTGTTCAGGTAGATGTTAAATTTTCCATGGCTGTATCTAATGAGCTGAGACCTCGGGTGTTCTTGCTAACCTTCATCTCTGGATCAACACTAGCAAGACAGATTTATTGACTATTTTCATCTTATTGCTTTGTTCTTGTCTATAAAACACAGCTCTTCAAAAGTATTTTTTGGCTGTAAAACACAATGGCCATCCTGAGGATATGAAAGGTGTTATATAAATAAACAGAGCTTACTCTGTTCTTTCTTGGTGTCTGAGGAATTAAACTTTATTTTCAGAAACACTTCAATAAATTTAGTTTCACAGATGGTGATGTTGCAGTATAAATGATCGATGATGATCAGTGTATTCAGGGGTAACAAACTCCGATGCTTGTTAGACTTTTATTTTCGAGGTAGTCAGAGGGAGATGAACTAGAGCTAGTCAGATATGTTTGTCACAGGCTGGACAGGTATTATGATGCATTTGGCATGTGGTGCTGATGGCCCTGCAACACATGAACAGACCAATGTTCACTCTTCTTGATCCTGTCCTTCAAGTCAAGAGGCAATATGTTGTTGAGATTTTTGCCCAGTTTCTGCTGCTTTCACTGTGTGCTTTTTCCAGTACTTCTAAAGACAAATTTGGACTCATTCTGTCTCTCCATTCCATTAGTTTCGAATTTTAATCGGTGCCACTGCAACAGACAGGAAAGAAGAGGGCAAGAATAATGTTGTTTTTATGAAGTTGAATAAAGACAGCAGTAATAATATCGACACACAGTCGACCAGGAGAAGTATTAGTGACATTACTGAGGACTGACGGTCATTTGCCTGTGCCAATCTGTAAATCAGATGTCGTTTGTAATGAATGTGGGGTTAGTACTTAGGGAGCTGTTGATTATCTTGGTTTGTCAGAACAACAGCACATTGAGTTTTCCCTGGCAGTACATTCAGCTCCAGTTAAGCAAATAACCCGTTGAAAGCAACACTTGATTCAAGTCAGAGATAACAAGGTAGAGAGCTGGAGGAACACAGCAGGCCAAGCAGCATCAGAGGAGCAGGAAAACTGATGTTTTGGGCCTAGACTTGTCAGGTGTTATTCGCCAGGCTAAGCCTTGCATGCATCTCTCAAGGAGCAGTCCTATGTGTAATGAAAAATGCCCAATGGAAGCTGATAGTTTCATCAAGTGCATTAGGAAGGACCTCATGATATTCAACAGAAATGCCATAGCATTCTTCACAAATAAATGACTTCAACGTGCAGGCCCTGTTATTATCATTAAACACAGTTGTTGCAGTAATACAAACTGCAGTGAAATGAAGAGCAGGTTGGGTTGGAAGATGGGTATATAGTGATTTGAATGGACATTCCCACATGGTAATTATTTCTTCAAGAAATATTTATTAATTTTTTTTACATGGAAGGATCTTCTGTATTAATCTTAGAATTTTTTCTGTTGCCAAGCAATTGAAGGTTTCAGTGGATAGACAGGAAAAGATTAACGATTTCTGAATTTTTATTTTTGGATAGACCATCAAAGTGCATGGTCTAATTTTAAATAATGCTAAAGTCCTTGATGAAGGTGGAGCTCTTTCAAATTTACAGTCATATGGGAAGACTGACTCAGTGCCCATTAGAATCATCTTAGTTGATAAGAAATGGAGATGAAATGCCCAGAGGTGGGATTGCCAATTGCACAGCAAACGGGTATGCAGTCTAGATATCTCTTAATCACCCTGTTCAGAGATCTTATAAAACACATCAGAAACAGGTCGAACTCGAGCTATCTGGCTCAGAGGAGAGACACTACCACTGCACCACTAGAGTCCCTTTCAGGTGCACAGTTTCAGCTTATGCTAAGTGTATAATGATTGACAGCTGACTCTGCTGACAAACAATGAAGTTGGACTTTAAACCTTGAGGAAGAGCATCAGAACCCTGAATCTTTACCAATGATATAAAAGCTCTTTGCAGCCCAGTGCCAGTCTGTTGATGAGCTGACAGCGATCTGGATTTAAGTCCCACTCTAAGACCTGAATGCACAATCTTGGCAGATCCTCCAGGTCAAGCATTGACCTCTTGCTAGAAACATTATCCTTCAGATGAAGTGTTAAAGTAATTTTGAACAACTGCCTGATTGTTTAGGTGGATGTTAAAGATGTATTATCTTTTACTATATCTATTTTAAGAAAACCAGAGATTCTGAGCCTTCAGAAAATGTTTAACCTCCAACCCAAACAGCCCTTAATTTCCTTGCAGTTTGTATTAGTGCACAAACTGTATTCATTGATAATAATAACAGGGCCTGCATGTTGAAGTAATTTACTGTCTGTGAAATATATTATAGTATTTCTGATGAACAGTAGTTCCTTTTTTTTTGTAGGTTTCTGTCAGTTACAAATATAATGGAGCAACTAGTTTCTGTGCAGCATGATGAGACTTGAGTGATCATATTTCTGAACTCATAACAGGATCACACTCTGATGCAAAGAGTTTGATCAACAAAAGTATGACATTCACATTTTTATATTATGTAATACTATGTATTCATATATATTCATTGTGCAGGCACATTGGTCCAAATTGGATGCCTCCTGTGCTGTCAAGAGGTGATTCTATGTTATCCCCCAAACCTAAATATGAGAGTATTCTCTGCTCCTTTGTCTGGTACCTCCAGAGACAAAGAGCTGAACTTTCACAGCTTCTGAATGCCATAGGCAATGCTGAGACAGCTGTGAAAATACTGCTTGAACAGAAAAGTGAGATTCTTGACATTGCAGAAAGAATGTCCAATTTTCCACGAAAGATTGTAATATTGAGATGGAAGTCTTGCTGGTAAATGGCGAGGGGCTATGGTGCCATGCTACGTCAATTTGACACCTACAGCTTGTTACAGTAGCTTACGCAGCAAACAATCTGCTTCTACTTGAACCAAATAGCCATACAATGCAAATAAGAAATGCTAGCATACCCAGAGTTGTTGGAGTAAGTTTGCTTTGTATGTGGGAGTGGGCTCCACTTGTGAGTGATGTGAGGCCCAAAAGGGACAATTGCACTTTCACATAAATGAGTTAAAACATTTGTAATTTCAAAACCTGGCATGTGTACCTCATGCATTGAGCAGCTACGTTGATTAAAAATAATGGGCATAAGCAATCTGGGTCATGACATTATCATTGCAAATGTTGATGCCAAGCATAGGTACAATGCAGTCCATTCTTTCACCGGGGCATCATGAGCCAGATAGTAGGTCTCAACAAGATGGATTTCCCTTGAATGGATAGGTCTGGATGCTCCTTGCAGGACAGCACAGACAGAATGCACTGCATTACCTTTGCAAGCTGAGCTCTGATCTACTGGAGCAGTCAAAAAATGAATGCGACAGACAATGAGGAACAGTGAGACTGGCACTGGTCTTCTGAGGAGGAAAACTATTATAGTGAACAGGAGGAACATCACCTTCATCATGATATGGTAAAGCAGTGTCACCTGCAAAAAGCCAGACAGACCTTATTGACAACAGATTCTGATGGAATTGAGTTGGGAGAGGTTATCACTGATTACCTGTAAATGTGTTGTTGCTGGAAAGGCAAGCGGCCTCTGTTTATCCCCAAATGCAAAGACATTTGTTCTTATTTGTTCTTATTGATTTGTTCTTATTTACTTTTCCTTTTCTGCAATAAAAGTTAATGTTAATAACTTGGGTGGTTTCAATTCATCTGATGCTCCCACATTCAAACTTGACAAGATGGTATGCTATGATGGGCACTAGGAAGAGAGTGTCACTCCTTCAGGCAGGGCTCTAACATTGTGTGGCGCTAAGGAAAGGCAGCTTCTCTACCTTCTTTCTTGTAGCTGCAGCTAAAATGACAGTTGATCAGACAGATGATGATGTAAAATGACAATATATTTACAAATGTGAGATTCCATTTCCAATTAATTTTCACCCGTGTCACATGTTTGCCCTCAGAAACTTCTTCATCTCATTGTATCTAGAGGTAGTCCTTTCCACAGCTAAGCTGGATGGAGCCTGCCCTGTAGTGAAGCCTGACCTTGTAGTTTTGCGTGAACTACGCCCCATGTGTTGTAGCGAGAGGGCATAGACATGCTGAGGGTGTCCTACTCTCCTCGGCTTAAAAATTCCACAGGGGTGAAGGTCACAGAGAGACTGGATGACAGGTTTTATGAGTGAGTTACATTGGAATACACTACTGAGTAAATGTCAGACTCACTAGGTTTTGTTTCTTTCTGTGAATCTGGGAAGAAGCCATCTCTTTATTCTGTAGCTGTCTTGGTAGAGAAGGGTGAGGTATGCGTTACTGCTTGACCTAATTTTTTGTTTTGTATTTGCATCACTGTTGTGGGGCATTCCTGTGAAGAAAGGCCTAAACTCATTTTAGGTGCAATGTTATCGATGAGCAGAGAAAGGAGATTGTTACCCTTCATACTCTGAGTTGTTTTTTTAACCCAGTTGAAAAGATTGACAACTTACCAAATTTTATCTAATTGCCTCTGAAAAATGCGTAAAGGCTTCCAGTTGTAATTTACTTTTAAATCTTGAAAATGGTAATGATGAATTCAGAATTTAATCTGATTTAAGATGACCTAAGTAAAAATTGACCTGCAGAATATGTTTCTTTTAGCGTTCTTATTGATTTTTTCTTTTCTTTTCAGAGAAAGTAGACAATGGAGAAGTCTATCAGCGAAAAAGGACACAACAGCCCAACTATTCCGAGGGTTTGACTGCAGTCAATCATCCAAGATCCACTCCAGAACAAAGCAGTTGGAAGCGCATCATCTTACTCATTCTTGCCATCACCATACACAACATTCCAGGTAAGACATACTGAACTATGGCAGGGCTGTTTCGAAATGATATGCTTTGATCAAATGGCCATGCAGGAGACATTACCATCCGAGTTCGCCTGTACATCAACCCGTAGATGCTGGTTAAGATCCTCCAGTACACTGAAAGGGCTTTAGGTAGAAAGTGAAATCATGAAATTGCTATTATACCAGTTAAGAAAAAGTGAATTACTATGGATGCTGAATTTTGGAAATTAAGACAAAATGCTCAGCAGTCTGGTAACCTCTGTGGCAAGAGAAACAAAAGTTAATGTTTTGAGTCACATACGACTCTTCTTCAGAGCTGTTAAACCAACTGTGGCACCTTCTAAGCTTTGACTGTTCTAGAAATTGGTAGCTATGGTAATTAACTGGATTAATGACAAAGGACTCTGATCAGGCGTAATGCTGAAAGTTGAAAAATGACCTTTTGTCATTAGACAAGCTCAATCTGGGCTACATTTAACGTTTGATAAGTTAAGCACATTGAATTCCAAATCTCTGCAGCATTTATTGAATTTACCATCCTCCTGCCAAACTTTTAGACTATGATAGGTTTCCAGCAAGAGTAATCAGAAAACTAGAGTTTAAATGGAAGGACTGCAATTGAATGAAGAAGGAAAAATAAAGCCCAAGAGCCTTCTGTATTCACAGATAATTTAAAAATAGGTTATGTCATTGACTATATCTTCTGGTACATTTGTTTTTTTTTAACATGAATTAACAGAGGATTGCTGTGGAAACTGAGTAGACATGGACGGAATGCACATTGCTGTTCCAAGATCATCAGCTGCAGTAAAAATCCCATGAAAAGAGAATCTGATTACTAATAGGGATGCAGAACGTTCCAATCAGAGAGGTAATAGAAGCCTGAAGGATGTATCTGAAGTACAAGTGCTTTGACAATAAACGACATCAGTATCAGTTGAAATATTTGTATTTGCATTTCTCAGTATGCGATGAGATGTTTGACTTTTATCAGGAGCATTAAAAGCTGTTAGCCAGTTGCTGGGGCACTTGCAATATTTAGGTGTCACATATTGAAATTAAATCATGTATTTGATACTTCTAGCATTTTTCCCACCACAATCTTCTTCCTTTCACCAGCCCACCACACCTTATGGACAAGGAGTACCTTGTGTTTCTTTGCATCTTTCTTGAGCAATCAGCAACTCAATGTGATTTGATTTCCTCTTTTCCTTTCTCCCCCACTCCGAACGTTTGTGAGCACCAGCAGACCAGCTTGAGTCATGTATCTGCCGTGCAGGGAATGAGGACAAATGACATTTCACTAATTTGTGTCTCGGCATGCATGCACCTCAACACTGACTTGAGACACTCCAACTCTCCAGACCTCCTTGTGTCCCTTTGTGTTTTTTTAAAGTTACATTTTTCTTTGTGTAGCTGATAGATATTGTTCAAAGTAAAAAAGACAAAGTGTTGTTCATCCAGAAGCTTGTCATAAGAAATTTATAGTAAGTCAGTGATGCTGCAAAGAGAGGTTTTATCTGATGCAAACACGCTCACACAATGGAACACAACTACGTTGAAACAATGTAACTGGGTGGGCTACTTAGGTAACATAGGATGAAGGGGAAATTATGGACCTCTGTGATATTATTAACTGATTTCTACATGAGCCAATTGTGGAGACTGTGACTGAAAAGTATAAATTATAGAGATAAATCTCAATTTTCTTTTATTGCAATGAAATACAATGCTGAAACAAAGATTGCTTTAGTAAGTGTCACCATTTGAAGATATCCTGTGGGTTTTGGCAGTTGTGTTTGTTATTTTAGATTTCTCTCCCATGTGTGCTTCCATTTTATTGCATCTCTGTGCATCCGGCATCTTATCTCCTTTAAATTTGATTCCAATTGCACACATTGATTGCTCTTTATTAAGTTCCAGTTTAATTGAACTGTCAAATCCTCAATCGTCAGACCCAGGGATTTTCATTGAAAGAAGTGAATAAAATTTCAAGATATATGATATAAACTGATGAATTATTGAAGGTATTTTTGTCCTGATTCAGACTGCACATTTGATTCTGTATCAGCTTGAAGCTTGCATTGCAAGCAGCCTTTCTGTTCACTTGCAGTACCACTATAATGCGTAAAATATAGCCAAGTGCATCCAGTTTACACAAATAATTATCCAGTTACAAGTCTTCAGTGGTATTACATATTTATCATTATTACCAATTCTGTTTATTACCCTGTTTGTTCTTTGTACCTGTCCCAGGCTATTGTGTGCACAGACATGGTGCTGAATAACTGTTCCTGTTCATTCGTAGGTGTGACCATACTAACAAATGAGTTTTTACAGTGTCTCGGTGAAGCCTTGTTGTTAAAGTGCCATGTGTTTCAAGAATGGACAAGTAACATTCCTCCAAATGGTGCTTAAAGGGCAGGGAGAAAAATCTTAGGCGCATGATTTGAAAGCTTGGTGATGTTATCTCCTTTCCAAAAATAATTTTTTTTCACTAACTAGTCTGAAGTTCAATGCAGTGATGCAGTGTGAAACCTCAGGATAAAATGGCTGCCGATTAGAAGTGGATAATTGGGGATCAGTGGTGGTAGAGTAAAGGAATTGTGCTGTTTGACCGCTGTGATCTCCTGGAACTTGTTTGATTGTTTCAATGTGCCAGAGATGAATTTCTGAAAATTGGTTTAATATTCATTCACATTTCTGCCTGTTATAGCAAAGTGTGTGAGCTGATGGTGTACAGAAGTAGTAACACTGTATGCCAGGGCACGTCCAAATAGTTGCTGGATTTACCTGTCATTTTTCCTTTCAATTTATCTGGCTTTTCAAAGACCGGCAAAGATTGCAGATTATGTCATTTCAGACAGAAAATTCGGAGACTGATAAAGTAATCTCTGAGTCAATACTTCCAGTTATTTAACTGGAAAGGGAGTCAGTCCTGGTGATGACCATCTGCTGCTGTCTTGTTATTCATTTAATTTGGAGACAGCAAACTTGGTGATTCATTGCTCATTCTAGTCAATCAGATCATACTTGTTCCCCCAAATTACTCATCTACTACACAGTACCACTTGTACTCTCCAAAGGCCACTAGGTGTTGCGACTAGCCTGCTGTTAAGATGTGATTAACATGTCATCAGTGATGATTAAAAAAAATTGCTGGAGATGTTCAAAACAACTGTGTATCTAATCAGTAGAATATTTGCCAATTCCTGGTCCTAAGTAAATGTCTTTAATTTGTAAATTCTCTCTGAAGTGGTTAATGGACTGTTAGTGGTGTTTAGACTCCTTGAGGAGAGATTTAAAGCCTCATGTTTATTGCTTTGACACCGTTCCCAAAACTAGCTCCCAAAATGCTAAAAAGAACAAGGCCATTTGATAACATGTCAAGGACAAGAGCAAGGTTGCAATGCAGTTGTCTCAGGAGCTCATGATTCTTAGCTTAAAGAGCAATTCACTGAGCATACACAGCCCCATTATTTACTCTGATGCTATTTACTACAGCTTTGCTATATTAAGTGATAACTGCAATGGGGTTTGCAGTGTAGGCAACATTATTTACATTGAAATAGCTGAGGAGGTGAATATTATTTAAATAAGGAAAGACTGTAGAAAGCTGTAGCATAGAAGGATTTATGCGTCCCTGTGCATGAATCAAGGAAAGCTATTATCCAAGTTTAGTGAATAATTGGGAAGGCAAATGGAATGTCGGCCTTTATTTCAAAGGGAGCAGAGTATAAAAGTAGGGAGGTCCTGCTAAAACTGTACAAGGCCCTATTGGACCATAGCTGGATTATTTATTTTTATTCACTTGTGGGACCTGGGTGTCACTGGCTGGCCAGTATTTATTATCCATTCCTAGTTGCCCTTGAGAAGGTGGTCATGAGCTGCCTTCTTGAACCGCTACAGTCCATGTGCTGTTGGTATGCTCACAATGCCCCCAGGGATGGACTTGCAGGATTTTGACTCAGCGACAGTGAAGCAATGGCAGTATATTTCCAAGTGCAACTGTGAACACTTTTGGTCTCCTTTATCTAAGGAAATATATACTGGTGATGGATGCCCATGAAGGCCCACGAGGTTGATCCAGGGTTTGGAAGGACTGTCTTATGAGGAGAGGTTGAATAGTATCATAGAATCCCTACAGTATGGAAACAGGCCATCCGGCCCAACAAGTCCACACTACCCCTTCCGAAGAGCATCCCACCCAGACTCCTTCCCCTACCTCTGTATTTCCCATGTCTAACCCACCTAACCTAAACATCCCTGGGCACTATGGGCAACTTAGCGTAGCCAATCCACCTAGCCTGCACATCTTTGGACTGTGGGAGAAAACCGGAGCATCCGGAGGAAACCCACACAGACACAGGGAGAGTGTGCAAACTCCACACACACAGTCGCCTGAGGGTGGAATTGAACCCAGGCTCCTGGTGCTGTGAGGCAGCAGTGCTAACCACTGAGCCACCGTGCCACCCCGATAGGGTCAGGCTTGTACTCAGTGGATTTAGAAGGATAAAAGGAGATTTTATTGAAACACATAAGCTTCTTCGGGGGCTCAACAGGTTGGTGTGGAAAGACTGCTTCCAATTCTGGGAGAGTCTAGCACCAGAGGGCATAATCTCAGAGTAAGGAGTCACCCATTTAAGGCAGCTGACGAGGGATTTTCTTTCTGAGAGTGATGAATCTGTGGAATTCTTTATCACTGAGAGTTCTCAAGGCTGGGTCATTGAGTATAGGCTGAGACAGAGTTCTAATCATTAAGGGGAATCAGGGTTGTAGGGATAAGGCAAGAAAATGGATTTGAAAATTATCAGATCAACCATGGGCTGTCTTCATCCAAGCAAGTGGGGATTATTCCATCACACTCCTGACTTGCATTGTAGTTGGTTGAAGATATGGAAGTGCCAGTGTTGGATTGTGTTGAACAAGGTCAAAAATCACACGACACCAGGTTATAGTCCAACAGGTTTATCTGAAAACACTAGCTTCCGAAGCCCTGCTCC